TAAGTTAACTGGTACTGCTTACTGACAGCGAAATAACAAACAGCGACATAGCTAACTGTGAAATATAAATTTCAGGCTCTTATTGATACTTCTTTCCCTTTCAGGGTCACCAGAGCGGCTCATTGACCTCCATCTAACCCCAACTCTAATCTTGCCCATTCTGGTCACTCCAATTGAAAATCTTAACATCTTCAACTTAGCCTTTTGTCTTTCTGTTAGTGTCACAGTGTCCAAACCATCCATCATAGTAGGTCTCACTACCATCTCTGTTTCACTCGTGTTACTATCCCTCTGTCACAAATTACCCTGACACTCTTCCTCACCCTGCCTGCACTCACTTCTTCACCTCTCTTGTGCAGTGTCTGTTGCTTTGGATGGTTGACCCCAGGTATTTAAACTCATCTACCTTCACCGTCCCTTCTCCTTGCATGTTCACAGCCATACCCGTCTCCTCTCAGTAACACATGTATTCTCTCGTTTCTTTATAACTTTCATTGCTCTTCTCTCCAGTGCATACCTCCCCCTCTCCAGGTCTCTCGCTGCAGATCACAATGTCATCTACAAACAACATATTCCACAGAGACTCCTGCCTGACCACATCTGTCAGCCTGTCCATCACCACTGCACACAAGAGAAGACTCAGAGCTGATGTCTGATCTAATCCCACTTCCACCAGTCAGTCCTAACGCACGCTTCACCACTGTCTCACTTTCCTATACCACCCTCACATACCTCTCTGGCACTCCTGACTTCCTCATGCAGCACCACAGTTCCTCTCTCTTGGCACACTATCAGATCCTGTCTCTAAACCCAAAAGGACACAGTGACCTTCTCTATACTTCTCCATGAACACTGAACAAACATATTGACAGCGCTCAGCATGAAGCCCTAGTGTGGCTCACAGATTACCAAAGCTGCGACTGTTTGCAGAAAAGCAAACAGAAGTGGTCCTGAGTGCTCTGGACAACCATTTAGTCACCACAAGTTGCAAAAAATTCAATACAACCATCAAGCAGCCTTGCCAAGCTAAGTGTATCCAGTGTTGGATGGTTTTTCGGTTGAGTGGATATAATGTAAGTTTGCTCGGATAACATTACCTCATGATGGCGGTCCATAAGATGAGCCCTCTTGTTCAGAGTATTTCCAGAGATAATAAAATATCGAGATTTGATGCCCCTGTATCCACACAACACCGCAACACTATCAATTTTTCTCCCAGCTCTAGTATGTACGTATTGCAGGAAAGGCATTTAACAGTCTGAGTATACAAAAACTGAAATGTAATAGTGTATAAGCCAGTAATCGTCTAATTATTCAATCTGAGAGTTAATGAAAATAAAGATAATCAGATGAGATGATTATCTTTGCTCGTCTCAATTTGATAACACTGATGTTTACTACATTAGCATGATCTTATAAACTTTAGGAAGAAAACTTCACACTTAAAATTTAAGTTGCTGGCCTGGTATGTGAAGACTGGTCAGCTATACATACAACTATACACAAGAAGTGAAACAATTTTCTGACGAAATGGGGATATGACAATATACACAGTCCTTGCATTAGAACTCGGGTTCATATGTTGATTAACGGGAGGTTGATTAAACACACTGAAACACATCCCACTACTTCAGTGAATACATCATGACAAAATATGGAACTGACACCATTGAGTCAGCACCGAAAAGCTTAAGGAGTAATATTCAGCTATGTGACGAGTGAGCTGCCCTCAGTACTTAATTCCACAACTAAGCGAAGAAGTGGGCCTAAAATTTAACCAGGGAATTCCAAATGGACACTTGTTTAAATGAACGTTACCACCAAACACCCAAAGCTACTAAAACTAAGCAACGCGATGCTGCAAACTAGCACCGACCAGAAGAAACTAATTAGCCCTACACCATTAACGTTATTGGCACACAACTAATGGACGTTAACTATGTTCTTGTAGCCCATTAGCTTAGTTAGCTGTTAACATTTCCTAAAGGCACGAGTTAGTTCACCCTGCGGACTGAACAGCACGCCGTCAGTCAACGTTTGAGTGGCTGAATCAAAGCCAAGCACCCTCACCGAGAAGACTCCTCGGAGAAGCCGCCGTCCAGCAGCCTGACTTTACAGAAGAGGACACCGTTGACAAAGGGGACCGACGACAGCTCGTCCAGGTCAAAATCCACCTTGAACTTGAATTTCTTCTTTTTCATCATCATTAAATCCATACACCGCTTCAGTGCCTTTGAAAAGATGCTCCGGTGTCGCCCGTCGCTGACATTACTGCCCCATTGTTGTGAAGCACAGACACAACCAGCTTGGTGTTTGTGGGAGGATGGTGAAGCTACTGGTGACAAAAGTCCGTCATCGGCTCAGAGTACGGGCAGAGCTCTAGCCCATCTTGATCTTTCAAAATAAAAGCGCACGTTTCATGTGCAGCATGGCTTGTCCTGAAAGAAGGAATTGGTGTGAAAAAGTTCAAAGGTCTTCTTTGAATGTTGGCTACCTTTTTTTTTTGTTCTCAGATAAAAATGATCCCACGCTGATTCAATAATGTTGAGGCCTGGGCTTTGAGGAGGCCAATCCATGATGGGTAGTGCTTTGTAAAACGTATTTGTTTATCAGATTTTTTTAAAATTACAAGTTTGGGTCCTTGGAAACAAAAATATAAATAAATAAGATTCAAGATTCAAGAAGTTTATTGTCATGTACACCGCAAAACACAAATCGTTAAGTAGAGCAATGGCATTCTTACTTTGCAGGTTCCCTTCACACGACTAAAAGAAAGCAATAATAAGCAAAACAGTAAAACAGTGCTTTGTAGATCTTGTAGCTTATATGTGGATGTGTGTGTGTGTGCGATTCTGATTTTGATTCTGATGATCCGCGGGGATTTTAAAATTCAAATAAATGTGTTGCTTCAATTCCAAGACCTGTTTTTGTTTTTAAGAGCTAACACTTTATTTAAGAAATCCTCTTTTCTCATTCCCAGGAGCACACAAACATTTGCCTTTTTTAAAATATGTCAGCCTTTTCTCTGTTGCCGTTTTGTTTCTTGGTTATTTTACTTTGAAGCTATTGATGACTAACCGGATGTGAAAGGATAACAGCTTTATGTTTGTTGCAAACCGAAGCCCGCCTCCTCTTTCGGCAGCACTGATTGGACAGATTACTACAAGAAAGCAAAACCAGCTGCTGTTTAGTTATTTGACGTTTGTCTCCATCTGGTGGTACATCGTAGGAACTGTACAGCCAATAAACTGTTGCACAACTTGCACAATTTAACAGCATATGTGTTATTCTAGAAACTTTTCCCATCCCTAGTAGCGGTTAAAAAGCTGTTCCCAAGCAGGATGAGAGAAAAGGAAGGTCCAATTAAACATGAAGATGTACAATTTCTCTGAAAGATTTAAACAAAATATGTCAAAGTGGCCTTGAAGAGCACCCCTCCCGTGCTTTGAGGCAATTACAAGCTTATGGGGTTAATTTTGCCCAGAACAGCTGCCGGATTCTTTTGAGTATGACTCACCGGATAGACAAAGATAAGTTATACCGACTTTGTACTGCAGACCGATGGGTACAGGATGACGATCCTTGCACACTAGGCTACTGTACAGTCTGAACGCGTGCATGCGTTCGCGTGGGGACGTTTCCACCACAGCAAACCAAGTAAAAACGCCTAAAGGTGGACAAGACTTGAGAGGATGAGAAAAAGCTATAGTTGACTTGTGAGGAAATGTTGAAATGCCGTCCATGAGTAGTAGTAACAGAGCAGTGCGCGTGTATTGTTGTTGAAGGGTGTGTCTCCGTGAGCGTGTGCGTGTGGGCACTAAAAAGAGGAGGTCTCCCAAGGCGAAGTCAACCGAGTCCCTCCACCGATCTGTACAGCGCTCCTACCTCATCCGCAAAAAGCTCTCTGTTGGCCAAATCTGCACATTATCGTGTGCCCGCTGGACTTTACACCGACGCCGACCCATAAGGACTTTTCTATCACTTCCCTAGGCTACACCGCGGAAGTCCTGAAACCAGAAGCGCAAGCCACAGGAATCAGTTGCCACATCAGATTGCTTACCCAGTTTCTGTTAGTGTGTGTGTGTGTGCGTGGAGCTCTACAGGCCTGCGACGTTTTTCATTTATAGTTTTAAGATGTATCAGGTGGCGAGGAAGCTCTTTTTTACGGACTGTCGATGCGCTGACAATGCGTCGAAAGCATACGAAGAGCTGTTCGCCAAGCTGGACACTAACAAGGATGGAAAAGTGGATGTGTCCGAGCTGAAGGCAGGCCTGGATGCTATGGGCATCAAGGCTGAGAAAGGGGCAGCTCAGGTAGAGTAACGGATCCAAACAGGAGTGCGCAGAAATCCCAAATACGGAGAGAAAACCACAACAAATATTTCTTGTAGCGGCAGCGTTAACCTTAAAAGAAGTGAAATTACAGCCGCCAGAGCAGCCAAGTGCAGTCAGATTGACTCTTAGAAGGTTATTTATTTGTTTTCGTTACTGATCTTTATGATGACTGGATTCTTAATTTTTGTGCGCATTACACTGACTTTTAACCAAGTGTCCGATTTTCGCAGGCAAAGGTCTGTCTTTGAGAGGATGCACGTGGTACCAATTTTTTGACTGACAAAATAGTGCAATTATAACATAATCGTCTCATCAGCTGATTGTTACACCCCAGGTTATTTTGGACCTCTAGACACCTAAGATTTGCAGTTCAGCCAGAGATAAAAAGCGAGAGCTGTGTAGTGCAGCCTCAGTAATATTTTCACAAGTTGGAAAAAGTAAAAGTTCCCACGGCACCTCATCAGCAGAAGTTGAAATTCCCAGGAAGCTTTGGGAGCTTTTAAGGACTTGCTCTTGCTCTTAGAACTGAAGAAGCTTCTCGGATGAGAGGTGAAACATCTTCAAGAAACTTAAAAAAGTCCAGACGCTTTTCTTTCCAATCTCCTTAGAACACGATGACCTGGATGACTGAGAACCTTCACAGACATACTATTAAGTACTTGTTTTTCAAATTTATCCATGCCTAGTTAGGGTTAAAAAGCATTTCTTAAGCCATCTAGATTCTAAATATTGTTGCATGCCCTTCCTTTCTTTGAGCAAGGCAATTAAGTCCATATACCTGCACAACAGGCTCCAAAAGATCTGACAGCAGTCTTGTCCTTAAACTAACACTAAAGCTCTCCTCCACAGTCACAAACAGTCACTTTTGTGTAGCTGCTGAAATTGCTCTTACTCTGAAAGTGCAGTATCTGTGAGAGGTTATTTCCACGTGCATGCTTTGTTGTCATGGCTTAAAAGTATTTTCTTCAGTTTCTTGAAAACAGATTGAGTAGTGAAGACAAAGTCTGAATTCTCTGGAATGGCACTCAGGACACCCAGGCGTCTGTAAAGAGCTGAAGGGATTGGAAAAAAAACTGCTCTAGAATTTTTAAAGCTGTCTCAAAGGTGAACTTTTACTGTGGGCTGAGACTGTAAGTGGAAGGTCCCACCTTTACTAATCAAACAACTGCACATTCCCCACACATAACTGTGTAATAAATGGGTAATAAGACAGATAACCTAATTTGGTCAGTGCCCTCATTCAGAGCAAAAATTCATCTGTCAAAACTATAATGCTCTCCTCCTTTGTGCTCTCATACAAACATACTGACAGTTCTCAGTTGTTGGTTTACTTCTTAACAAAGAGCCATTGCTCATAACAGATTTGGTACCAGGCGTTATTTTTGTTTCCATTAATTCGCTTCAGCCTGGAGAAACAATGGATTTTTTTTGTCTTGATCTTGAGACATCGTCAACACTTGTGAAAGCAATGGCAGTAACTCGGGCAGACAGAAGGCTAAAAACACAGAGAGTGAGTTGAGATAAAGTAAAGGAGCATTTTGCTGCGTTATTCTGCCACCAACTGCCACAATCAGCCAGCTGCTGTTTGAGCAGGAGATGGAAGACTCCCCTTATGGCTCAGCAGAACCCAGACCTCTCCCTCCGCCTAATGAGGAGGTCAAACACCCGGCTGCAGCAAACAAATGAGGTACGGCAACACGAAGCAGAATGATTGCTAATATTCTGTGTGTGGGTGTGTTTTTTTTTCCCCCTTTAGAAAATCATTTCTTCTGGAGACAGAAACAAAGATGAAGGGCTCGACTTCAGCGAGTTCTCAAAGTACCTGAAAGAACATGAGAAGAAATTACAACTGACCTTCAAGAGCTTGGACAAAAATAAAGATGGTACGGTGCCATTTTATTATGTATCACATTTTAATATTGAAAATGCACAAAAAGAGAAAAAGTAGAAATAAATGCTTACTTTCTACAGGTCGTATAGACATTACGGAGATAAGGCAGTCACTTGCTGATCTGGGGCTGGAAATCAGCAAAGAGCATGCAGAGAAAATCCTTCAAAGGTATTTCAGCTTATTTGTTTATTTTTTATAGCTGTTACTCCACAAGCAAACTGTGAACTTACAGCAGTGTCCCGAGCGAGACGAGAAAGAAAGCAGCCTGACGCGCCGCAAGTTAAAGGTGGGAACCCGTGTGAGCGACTGATAACTGGCTCAGTGTGTGGTTTGGCTGAAAAGAGGAGTGAGTGCACATGATAAAGAGCTGGCAAGATGTTTTACACTCCTGACGCGGCGCGTCGACACCAGAGAATAATATTTTCGAATCGCAAGTGCACAGCTGGTCGCAGACTTTGGACCAAGCCACGTCTTGTCAGTCAGAATATGTTTATTGGTGTGTTTAATGTCATGCTGATACTCAAACTCACTACACATTTGGATGTAAAGAAAGAGTAACACATGGTTTTAACACACAGTAGCAGTTTAGTGAGAATGAAAGAACTACTGGTATTGATTAAAACTCTGAAAACTCCTGTGTGTTTATCAGAATTAAAGTTTGTTCCATAAATCCTTCATTATTTACAGAAACTAGGAAATAAACCACGTTACTGGTGGTTTTGGCCAGGCCTGCACGCTTGCTCACTTCACTCATGTATTATAGCATGTGCGTTAATTTATCATGTTATTTTTTTAATCTTAATTATATTTATCTTATCATTATTTTATATTCAAAATATCAACACACACACACACAAAGTACAGTAAATACATATAAATACAGTCAGTTGTCAGTTGTGGTCCATGCTGCAGCACGGACTGAACTGTAATGCACAGGATTTGCATAAGCAAAGCTTGAAGCTGCACATGTGCAGGAGTACACATAACAGTGGAACTAGAGTAAACACAAAATGCAGTAACTGATGAGTGAAGTGGGGCTGGAGGGCCCAGTTAGGACAGTAGCAGAACATGAAAGTAGAGCAGTGGCATATTAAGTATACAGCCTCAATTGGTTTAGTTTTTAAATAAATAAAAAAAATCATCTAACCTACAGTATTGATGTGGATGGCACCATGACTGTGGACTGGAATGAATGGCGAGAGCACTTCCTGTTTAACCCAGCCACCAACCTGCAGGAGATCGTCCGCTACTGGAAGCACAGCACGGTGAGGAGCGCTACTCACTATCTCTACATTATGCTGTATGTGTCACTGTTGTTTTAGCGTTTGCTTTGTTTGCAGTAGTTGGCATTAGTTTCAGATGGTTGCAGTTGTTGCTGTTGTTGCACACCAACTACTCGAGTAGTTGGTGTGGTTGCAGTGGCCGGTGCAGGCAATTCCAGGTGTTTATTTCCTCTACTTCAATGGCTGGTTTTGTTGCAGAAGATGCCGTATTTCTTGTTATTATTGGACATGGGTTGGTGTGTGTT